GTATATTCTACCGTGGTCCAATCGCCGAGATTGTTGGATCGTTGGAATGCCCGAGCTCGAGAGGTTCGTCTAGAATTTTGTTCGGGAGTAAAACCCCCCCAGTGTAGCGTCCTGTAGCGTCGTTAGAAGGGGTGTGGAAATTCCAGCGCGTCGGAGTTCGAAACGTTCCACAGGAACCGGCAGCTCGGTGCGAGCTTCCGTAGCTGCGATCGCCTGTCGTGTATGGCTTGAATAAAATCGTAGAAACTCCAGATAAATTGTGGAAGTCTCCTTGGCATGTTGCGTTCCATGCGGGTACTCGGTCCTTCGTGCATTGATAGGAGAAATGCCACGGGAGACATTTTACGAGGGTCGAGACTTAAGAAACGAGGCTCGACGCGCGAGTGCGGGACTTGCCGAGCCGATCTCCTTATGTGGCTTGTGGAGGTTCGACGAGGTTCGGAGGGCGAAATAAAACGATAGAAATGTCCGGAAAAATGTGAGGGACTTGTAGAGACAGTGGTGTCGTTCTTGGGTGGCGTGCGGGGGTGAATAACACAGAAAATGAATTAAAAAGGAGGTAATATACGTAGGGTACAGGTGACGGTTATGACATTACCCCCCTCTTCAAGGCGGGCGTCCCGACCGCCACCTGCTATGCTCTGAAATTCCCGTCATCCATTCGCCACTTTGCTCAACCTCTTCAAGATCGATGTAAGTGGGTCTGAATTTTATTTGGCGAGTATCTATTGGCCTAGGCGCTGACGGGTTTTTCGTGTGAAAATCCTTCACGGCTTCGTCCGCGTGTGTGATGTTTTCCACTGGTTCCCATGTATAGTCCTTCTTGAGCGGATATCCAGCCCAATGAACACGGTACTGGAGCTTCCCTCTGTGATGTCTCGAGTCTACGATCTCCTCGACGACATATTCCTCCACATTATCTCTGACTTCTGTCGGCGGCGGCTCTGGGGCTTTCTGAACGGCGAAGTTCGGCGGCGTATACTTGTGTAGCAGAGAGGCGTGGAACACTGGCGTTTTGACTTGCCATGTCTTGGGAAGCTTCAGCTTGTACGAAGTCTGGCCTATCTTCTCGAGGACTTCGAAGGGACCTAGCCGCTTCTCGGAGAGCTTCCTCGACGGCCTTTCAACCTTGAGATTAGTTGTTTCTAGCCAGACCTTGTCGCCGACTGAGTATCCTGGATCTTCCCTGGCATTTCTGTCGTACCAACGCTTCATATCGTCTTTCGCCTTCCTCATCGCCGCTTCTGCATCCTCATGAGCCCGCTTCATTTCGTCAAAGAATTTCTGCGCGTCCACATTACGCGACTGCCTACTTGGATTATAATGCATATTAGGGTTCCTGCCCGTTTCTAGGAAAAAAGGAGAGTATCCAGTCGCGGAGCTAACGCGATTATTATAGCAGAATTCTTGTATCGCCAGCCAGTCGACCCAGTCGTCCTGGCGGTAGTTGGAATAAATACGGAGGAAGGCTTCAATCTCCTGGTTGGCACGCTCGGTCTGACCGTCCGTCTCGGGGTGGGCTGCTGAAGAGGGGTTGTATTCGATCCCCAGGAGTTTGTACAGTTCTGTCATGACCTCAGCAATAAATTGGGGGCCTCGGTCTGATATGAACTTCCTAGGTAAGCCGTGGTGCTTGAAAATATTGTCCCTTAACAATTCGGCTACCCCGAGTGCTGTTATCGTCGTTCTACAGGGCATCGTATGTATTCTCTTCGAATATAGGCATACAACGACCAAGATCGCATCCATTCCCTTTGACTCCGGTAGTGGTCCGATGAGATCCATCGAGACGCTTTCCCAAGGTGCTGAAGGTACGTCATGCGGCGATAGTGGGACCTTCCCGGGTCTATGCAACGGCTTGTTTTGCTGACACAAAGCACACCCATTTACATACTTCTTCACGTCTCTCGAGATCCCTGGCCACCAATAGTCTCGAGTAATTAATTCGAGAGTCTTGTGCTGACCCGGGTGTCCTGCCAACGGTGCGTCATGATACATCATGAGCAGGTCTTGCCTCAAGAGTCGGTGTTTAGGTACATAAATCCGGCTCTTCCACTCGACCACGCCATCATCCCGCTCTACCCAATCCTTGTTTTTGGACGCCAGTTCCTTTACAACGATCTCGTCTCTCTGTCTCGCGGATTTCCGGATTCTCTCGTAAATACTGGTAAACGACTGGGTCTGAACCTCGGAAGCTCTGTGTGCTAGGCGGCGGAAATGCTCGGGTTTCAACATGGTTACATTCTTGTTATCCGTTTCCCCTTTGTTTAAATCCGGACGCCTAGTGATCGCGTCAGGTTTACCCATCAGGGAGCCAGGCTTGTGGTGCAAGGAGTAATTGTAATCTTGAAGCTCTTGGAACCAGCGGGCTTGTCGTCGATTTAGCTTCTGAGGCTCTCGGAAATATCCTAGGTTCTGGTGATCCGACCAAATCTCAAACGGAGTCTCGGTATCGAGCAGGTATTGTCTCCATTCTTCTAGAGACGATACGATGGCCATAAGCTCCTTATCATATATTTCGTAGTTTCTCTCTGTTTCGTTGAGAGACCGCGAATAATATGCTAAGGGGTGCCACTTCTCGTCTTGGTGCTGAGATAATACCGCGCCTAGAGCGAAGTCAGAGGCATCGCACTCGACTCGGAGTGGAAGGTTGTTTCGGTATACGGAAAGTATCGGGCTGGAGCATAGAGCGTTTTTGAGAACATCAAACGCCTGCTGCTCCTCGGTACCCCAGGAGAATTCGACGTTCCCGGTGAGCTGGGTAAGGGGACGGGCGATTTTTGAAAAGTCCTTAATGAAGCGTCGGTAAAAGTTGCAGAACCCGAGGAACTGCTGGACTTCCTTTTTCGACTTCAAGATGGGCCATTCAGAAATCGCCTCCGTTTTCTTAGGATCCATGCGAATTTCCTGGTGCCCGATAATCATCCCTAGGAACGGGATCTCCGGTTTACAGAACTCACACTTCGCGACCTTCAGAGACAACTTGTGCTTGGCTAGTAAACTGAGGACTTCTCGTACGACCTCCCAGTGCTCCGCCTCGGTCTTGGTGAAAATCAAGATATCGTCCATGTACACTATGATTTTCCCCTTCTCGATAAGCTCCTTGAAAATATTGTTCATCATTTTTTGGAATGTGGCGGGTGCGTTGCACATTCCAAAAAACATGACCAGAGGTTCAAAGAGGCCGCGATTCGTTAGGAAGGCTGCCTTCCATTCGTCGCCCTCTTTGATCCGAACGTTCGTGAACCCCCAGCGGATATCTACTTTCGAGAAGAACTCGGCGTCTTGCAGTTTGTCTAGGAGTTCGCCGATGAGGGGAAGCGGGTACCGGTTCTTGATGGTCATCTCGTTCAGCTTCCGATAGTCTTGTACAGGCCTCAAAGATCCGTCTGCTTTCTTTATGAAAAAGAAAGGAGACGACATTGGAGACTTTGATTCTCGTATCTGGCCATTCCGCAAATTTTCCTCGAGGAAATCGTCGAGTTCCTGTTGCTGGGACTTCGGGACGGGGTAGAGTTTCGCTTTGGTGGGACTAAACCCCGGAGTGAGTTCGATCGTGTGGTCCCACGGTCGTCTCTCTGGGAGTCTCTCGTTGTAACCCGGTTCTCCGAAGACTGCCCAATAGTCTCGTATCTCTTTCGGAAGACTGGCTGCCAGTTCTTTCGCAAACGAGGTACGTGACTCGATGTCCTCATCCTGTTGCTTGACCGATCGTGTGTAGCTTTCGTTGTTAAACAAAAACAATCGGTCGCCAGCCTTCAGTTCGTCGCTTTCCTTCTCCGGGAGTTCCTCTCTGCTTTCCTCTTGCTCTCTTCTGTCCTTCTCCCTCTCCAACTCATCTTCGTCGTCCTCGGGATTTATAGTACGTGTATGGTAATTACATGACCTCGGACAGCGGGTAAAATGTATCGTACGGTGAGTCCAATCAATCTCGGGGTTATGCAAATTCAGCCAGCTGAAACCTAGATACAAATCGTGTCCGTCTAATCGTACAATGGCAAACATAATTTTTTCTGTATGGTCGCCGATGGAGACGCGGAGTTCGGTTACACGAGTAATTGATCCCGCAGCATTTTTTGTGCCGTCAGCATTAATCGCAGGGATTGGTTTATCGAGGGGCCAGGTGGGTAATTTGTGCTTTCGTACAAATTCTTCGTCGATAATACTACTCGTGCAACCGGAGTCTAGAAGCGCCGTGGATCGTATGGTTTTACCGGTAGGCGAAAGATCTTGTAGCCCTACTGGTAAATCGAGTTGGTTTGCCCCGGTCCCAATAACGATTTTCTTCGCTCCTTTCCATCGTCGGGTGTTTTCTGATTTTTCTAGTAGGTTTTTTGCGGCGGTTTTTTGGTCAGTGGAAGATGGTAATTCAAAGGTAGGTAAAAAAGGGACCACGGGAGTTGAATCCCGTGTAGTACAGTCCGATGCTGAACAAAATTCAGGAGTTACGTCCTGCTTCTGCTCAGCGAGCAGGGCTAACTGATCATCAAAAGAAACGTCGGAAACCGGAGAAAGCGAACGAGTCGGAACAGAGGTAAAATTCGAGGCATGTGTCATCGCAGGGTCGTGTCGTTGAGAAACCGAAACATCATCAGAAGGAAAAAAGGAATCTGTGTCTAGATAATCAGAAAGAGACCAAGGGCAATCGTAAATGAAAGGTGAGTCGTAAAATTGAACCGTTTTTTTGTGTGTAGTCATATCGGGGGAAGAAAAAGAAGATCGAAGTAGTAAAGGAGAAAAATAATTTGACCGTTGAGTTGAGAGGACCGCCTGCACTCTCAACTCTTTGGAAAATCCACTTCTAGTACGTCCAACAATTTCCCTCTATCCTCGTCATTCAACGTATGGACCGCCGCTCTGATTCTCTGGCTCCTAGACTCGCAGCGATGGCCCGAATCCCACTTCTTGCCACAGCCAAAACATTCCCCAGCTTCCTTTCGTCGTTTATACTCCGCGTCCGGGAGCATGGCTCTAGAGGTACGAGCTGGGGACGGGCTACGGAAAGGAGTGGGCGAAGGAGAGCGTACTGGATTATTGGATGGGCCCGGAGTCGGAGGGCGAGGAGGGTGTGGAGCAGAGGGAGAGTATGACGGATTCGGCGAGCTAGGGCGGTACCAGCCTTGAGCAGGAGAGGTAGGTCTATACCCGTATCCTCTCGCGAGTTTCTTTGTTTGCTCTCGGTTGTCCCACCGGATGGCGGCTTGTTTCCAGTCATCGTAGGTTGCCGGCATCTTTTCTTGACCATAGATGGCGTCGACGATTCGACTGTTCAGATTCTCCTTGAGCTTCTCGACCACCATCTCATCGTACTGCTTCCCCTGCCACCGCGCGATTCTCCTTGACGAGTCTAGCTTCTGGAAGAACTCGGCCGCGGTTAGTACTCCCTGCTTGGAGTACATAATCTTCTGCCTAGCTTGTCCTCTCGAGTCTAGAGTCTCGTAGTCTCGCTTGAGGAGTCTCATGAATCGGAACCAGTCTGCCTCGGTGACTTCATTGCGGTGTTTCTCCTGAGGAAGCTCTAGCTGGTCGGTATCTGGGTTGTATGGATAGTCGAGGTATTCGTTCCCGATAGCATTGTCTGGATCCGACTGGTAGTTTTGCTTCCAGGAGATCGCATCGCCTCGAAAGAAGGAGAGGATGTATTCGATGCGTCGGCGGTACGACTGGAAGTACTTGGGATTCGCTCGGATGACGTCGAGTACCGCGCTCCAGAACTCGTCCCAGTTCGAACCGTCGAAGAAAGGTGGCTTTGCGACGTGTTTGTTCTCCTTAAATTCGGCCGGGTTGTCTCCAGTGAACGTCCTATGTGTGTGATTGGACATGCTGCTGTTGAAGGTAAAATGCCCGGACGAATTATCGTCGCCGCCTCCGTCGTCATCGCTGGGATCATCGTCTCCTCCCCCGCCTCCTTCTTTTGCTTTGCTTCGAATCCTTCTGCTGTCTCCGGGTCTGTAGGTCTTCGGGTTTCGCTCCCTATGCTCGTCTAAATTTCTGTCGACTTCCTGATCGTCTTGGTTGCTCATGGTGTCTGCAGCTCGGGTCTGGGTTTGAGTTGTAGTCCTAGCAGCCATAGATATGAGAGGTCGAACGGGAGATAGGTCAGGAAGCTTGGGTGTAATTGGCGGGGGTGTTCTCGGGGGCGTAGAGAGAGGGGAAGAAGCGTCTTGAGTGGTGGGTACTCGATCTCCTGAAGAGATATATCTCCAAGTTTCGTCGAAATATACTGGGTAGCTGTTATCGACGTCTTGGAGGACTACTCGGCTCGGGGTGATGAATGTGCACCAGATATGACGTTCTGGGTCCCAGACTCCGTACGGTGGATTGTGGATATCGGGGGGAAGGGTTTCTAGGTAGGTGTAGTTGGGTTCGGGGACGCGGATGGTATCGTTGAGGTATAGGAAGTATTCGTCGGCCCCCTTCGACTTCTCGCACTGTAATCGTCGATCTCCCCGGAATCCGTTCTGGTCGTAATAGGTATAGTAATATTCGTGTTCGGAGTCGTAACAAATATACCAAGGGTTCGCCAGGGTGGAGATCGGAGACGGAGCGATTTAATGGTGAAGAGAGTCGGAGGAAAAATAGGTGAGTGTCGTCCTGTGGTCTTGAGGTCGACGCTCTCCTCTGCGAAGCTTGTACGCGTAATACTGACAGTCGAAATGCCAAGTATTAGAGGCAGAGGCGAATAATGGTATGGAAAAATGGAGAGGAGAGGTCGAAGGTGCGTCCAATAATTTCTTCGGCCTTGTAAAACTACTTCCGGCCAAGTGGCGTAGGTATGCGAACACAAGAGGGTTTATAGTAAGGTAGGCGAGAGCAGTTGTGAAGCCGATAGCCCCTGGTTTGAGCAGGCAGACTAAAGTGCAACCGAACACAGAGGGCTGCTCTGGTCAGTCAACCGAACTCTACTAGCCACTATAGACACGCCCGGATATATGCGTTCACCGGGGCGCTCCTAAAAAGAGTCTGACGACGTGCGAAGATGAAGCGAAAGGGAAGAGGGATGATATAGTAGACGCGAGAAGAGAAAAGGTGCGTCCTAAATAATTCTCGCCTCTAAGCGTGACACTTCTTGCAGATGCAACGAAGCGTAGGGTCGGTGCGACACTTGGTGAGCGGCGCGGGGCTGGAAGTCGAAGTGTGAGCGTTGGGGAAAGTGTCGGGTTCGGAGGAAGGATAGCGAAGGAGCAAGGAGAGTTCTTCGTCCGAAGGATCTTCTTGCTTGATGGTGATAATCGAAGCGTTGGGGTAGGAGGCGATAGGAGCGATGAAGGGTGTGTAGGAACCGTCAAGGACGTGGTGATAGATGTAGGTCGTCGCGAGAGGGTTCGAGGGAGTTTCGAAGATGTTGTGGATGAAGAGAAGCGTGTGGAGTTCGGCTGGGGTTGGTGCAGAAAAAGAGTAGCAGATGGTGTAGGTGAGAGGATTGGTCGAACGGCTTGTAGACATGTACGTAGTCGTAGGAAAAATATAGAGAGGTTGCGAGGGGTGGGGTAGGAGTTTTGTAGATAATGTCACGACCGGGCAATACGGGAGTGGAAGTACCCCACGGCTCAAGACGAAATAATCGGAAAAGCGGCGGAAAAAGGTGATGGAGGAGTGAGTATATTAGAAAGCCCAGGAATAGACGATCTACAAAACTGAGGAAATACATGTGAGTGCTACGAAGTATTTATACGAGTCTGAGATCGCCCCAACAGTAAGTAGAACGAAAAGCAAGACGAATATTCAAGAGTGAATCAAAGGAGAAAGACAAATAATCGTACACTGAGTTCGTGCCCTAAGGAGAACACTAAGTAACTCGAACAACGTGTCTGTAGCATGTAAACTAAGGAGCCCAAAGGGAGACGAAAAGATAAGACGAGTAACGAAGCTAAGAAAGAGGAAAAACCCATCTAGAGAACAATGGGTACAGCTAGTTCGGGCATAAACAATTTATCCTAGAACAGTCAGGCACAGATAAAATCCGGAGACACCGTAGAATGAACCTATGAACGAGTAGGAACCTCTCGATATCAAAACGTCGGTGATTGAGTGGAAACTGGTCGAGATACACGAGGGGAAACGCTATCAGATGGCCCTGAGTGATGTTGAGACCGAGATCGCGTCGTAGTATATTCTACCGTGGTCCAATCGCCGAGATTGTTGGATCGTTGGAATGCCCGAGCTCGAGAGGTTCGTCTAGAATTTTGTTCGGAGTAAAACCCCCAGTGTAGCGTCCTGTAGCGTCGTTAGAAGGGTGTGGAAATTCAGCACGTCGGAGTTCGAA